TTCGTTTTATATATATTTTTTAATTCGGATAAGAGAAGTCCTCGCGCGGGGGGTTGGATGGGGCTGGAGATTGAAGGGAGTTGCTTCAATAAATATTCTTGTTTTAACGATCAAAGAATCGTGACCGTGGCCACACGAATTCAAGAAAGACGTGTACGCGAGTTTGGCAAGTCGGGCAATGTTGTACTACTATAACATATTACATGTGTGTGCTTCCTTTTTTTTTCTAATCTCTCTTTCTCTCTCTCTCTCTCTCTCAGTAATTACACCTAATCGGTACTATCAAATTCGATATAGTATGTCTACGATAAAGATTAGAACAAGTAAATGGCAGAGAGGTAGAAGCAGAAGGGAAGAGGGGACGAGGAGAAGGATAAATCTTTAAAGGAGAATAAGGGGAGGGAAGAGAGGGTGAGAGGAAGCGTTATGAACGTTATATGATATGATTACGCGTCTCAGTTATTTGGAATAATATTCTATATAATCATATAGAGAGTTGCTGCAGCTAGCTTAGAGATAAGCCGAGAGAAAGCTTCATATGTGGACGGCGCCCGCACAATTTTTTTTTTTTTAGTCTAAAGTTTCCGCCTTAGTATATATCCCTACACACCTCCTTTTGACCCGTGCGAAAGATTCGAGAAAGGATTTCGTCTCGTTGATCAGGATACATAACGGATGCGCGATAACTTTAATCCGCGCGATTCAGAAAAATCTATGCGAATTAAATCTATATATTTTCACGTACGCATTTCTTATTAATTTTCTAAAAAAAACAAGAGCTGATATCATATTTCTTATTTGCTTTAAATTACTCGTATACCTCTGGTAAAAATATAAAACGCGAGCAATTGCAAAGCGCTCTTAAATGTTTCTCGATTAAAATTTTAATTTAAATACGATGAACGAAATCTTATCTTGAATGAAATAGCGCGCTGTAGATAATCGATAGATATAAAGAAAATTTTCTTGAGAGTCTCTCTCTGTCTCTCTAAAAAAGAATCGCGTATAAAAAAAAAGAGAAGATTTACACTGATCCTCAAGTCGTCGATCCGTTTCTCAAGTCCGACACTGTGAGTCGATGTCTGACGTATGTACGCAAAAAGTCGGCGCGACTTTGTAACGTCAATGCCATCCGCTTTATTCGCCGCATCGCTTAGTTAAGATTTAATGTATCGTACGTAGAAACACTAACACGACCGCTCTCCATAAATCTCTCACCGCCCCTGTACTGTACAAACTCCTCGGAGACTAATAATTATTAATAATTATTATTATTACGCATTACGTATATCTCTAATTTGTCGGACGTATCGGCGCCGCCATCGTTGCAGTACTTGCTGCTACCGCGTCACTTAATAATTAACGGTGTTTTCAGTTATAACATCAAAACATAACTAAGCAATATAATAATAATAATAATAATAATAATAATAATAATAATAATAATAATAATAATAACTCATAATAATAATAATAATATTAATAATAATAATATATGAGTATAAGCACCAGGTTCGTCTTGTAGGTTTAAAAACTACAGGACGGACCTGACAAGCAATTTTCCAAAACAAAATAATAATAATATTAATAATGATGATGATGATAATGATAATAATAATGTAATAATAATAATAATAATAATAATAATAATAATAATAATAATAATAATAATAATAATAATAATAATAATAGTTTGTAAATATATATAATATATATAATATATATATAGTCATGTGTTCCTATAAAGCTTTTCTACAAATAGATACACCGATTTTTTCGGGGCTAATCGCGACACATGCGTCTTTCTCACTTCTCGATTCCACGATATTATTTCTTTTTTTTTTTGTTCCGTATACAATGAGCCGGAGTAGATTTAGGCGCGATCATACTTCTCTCTTTTTCGACATTCCGACAGAACAACCGAAAGATCCTTGGGCTACGGCCACGAAATGTACAATAATTACGTTGTGTAATCTTAACACGATAACAGATTACGTGGAGTGGAACCGATATACGACTATGTTGTGTTATTCCATAATGTTTCTGTATATCTTTGCGTAAGCCGAGAGCACAAGCACGAAATATGGTTCAACACATCATCTAACATATATCGCATTCATGAACAATAAAGAAAATATATTTTTGATAAAAGAAAATATGATTTTTGAATTAATAATAATTTTTACATAAATAATTTGTCTCTTATGTGTATGTATCTGTGAATGCATCACGAAATAGCGAATATAATATTTCTTGAAGCCAACAAGTTTTATAATTACGTGCAAATAACAAAAATATATTCGAATCAAATAGAAAAGATATCGACAGATTCAATTAAATTAATACCAATCATTATTAATTATTAATTACAGTTTGCAAATTGCATCGTATCGCAATAAATCAATGTAAATCACATAAAAATAATTATTATCAACATAATCGTGTATGATCATCATTATGAACGATGCATTAATATAAGATGCAATAAAGAGACGATATTAATTTTTGAATAAGAGATAAAATATAAAGTATACATGTATACTCATCTTTCTCTTTTTGAATATTTTAATTACAATTACACTGAGCGCATACAATATCCGATATAGACAACCATATTTCTCTGCGAATGCTCTCTCGCTCCCATTATGGTCAGACTTAATTTCTGCAAAACTGTTTAATCTTACACACGCATATATTACGTTCTACCTTCATTCTTTTTTGCACATTACATGTTAAAACATTATTACGATTACGGTATGTAGGTAGGTACTTCGCTATGTGGGGAGATATTTTTACGTGAGTACATCAGTTTACGCGGACTCACATACGCAGCTTAATCATTACATTACGTATGGGAATATTATTTATAGTATTACTTTTATAGTTTAGGTAATTAGAGGATAAAGTATTAATACGAATATACGAGTTTTTCCTTCCACTTTTATTTAAATGTGATTTCTTGCTTTGATTACGGACGTTTGTTGGAGTTGCTCGTCGTCATTATGCTGCTTTCATTCAATTAAATTAATAAGGTATCTCTTTTTCCTCAATTTACGTACTTGCGTTTAAACGTACCCTAAAATTTCACCGCGCCAGCAAAAATTCTGCCTTGGTGCGCGATAAACAGATTCATCATTTTCTCTTGTTTGTTCTCATTATATATATTATATGTATATTTATAATATACTTATTACTTTTAATAATATATATTATGTGGTATATTGTGTACAATATATGTTTTACGTCGTTATATATTACTAGACGATTTATGCAATAGATCTTGACATTAATCTAAAAAGATCTGATATTCTTGCCGCACATTTTACGTATATATTTTCACTTGTAAAAATCTCTTTTTCAAAGTCTCATCTTTTTTTAAAGACAAATATAATATATATACATATATATATATATATATATATATATATATATTTCATTCCACCCCTTTTTTATATAACAATAATTGTGAAATTGATAGAATATAAACACATTATAGTTCAGTATTAAATAACAATGTGTTGATTTTCTATCGATTTTACCATTATTGAATTAAGAGCGATACTTCGCTTCGAATAAAATTTAATCGAGACTTTTTTTTGATAAAGAATCAAGATCTATGCATCGATCGCGTTAACATGGAGGAGAAAAAAAATAATTGGGTAATAATTTATCTTGGTTACTTTTTCCACGTGTTTTACGTTTCTTTTTTTTTACGAATTCTAAGTAAGTAATACCAACAACGGATTCTATATATCTATGGAAAGGTCTACCCTGACACCAAATTACGTATTTAATGTACTAAGAGTGAGATACTCGTCCGGTGATGTGGCTCGTGTTTCTAGTACGTATGTGTACAAATGTATGTATATTTAATTTTTTCCATAACGTTTCTGTTTCTCATTTTCATCAAAGTCAGTATGCATTCATAAACATCTACGTCTATAATTTCCAACAAAACGCCGATAAGAATAACTGAAGTCTGTGCAAATTGAAACAATAAAAAATAAACGTTATATAAATTATGTTATAGAATTTAACAATTGTAAAATTTCACATGAATCTTACGTTAACGATCAATGCGTTTTTTTCGCAATGAATATTGATTGAAACATATGTTTATTACGTACGTGTATATAAGTCTATCAACACGGCAGGATAATCGAGATAATTTTTGCTGAATTTTTGGCAAAATTTGATCGCCAAATGTATATTGTACAGTTATTATATTATCCATCATGCTTAGAACATTCAGAAAGTTTTCTTTTTGAAGTTCAATATTTACGCGTTTATGGCATTGTCATTTCACTTTTTAGCGTAGATATCGTTTGTGAATAATTTTGGTGAATTCACGTTTCTTAAATTTTTCTTTTAAATTCGCGAATTCAACGACGCTTTTATTGCTCATGCTAGGATATTTACTTTTAGTCTCGTTGGTAAAAAAATAAATATTCTAATTTTTTATTGTGTGTCGGATCTAAAGTAATTTATTATATTCATCGATATTCATTGACAAAAAGTTTCATTTATTGTGATTTATCGGAATTGACGTATATTGAAATAGCTGAAAAAAAATTGTTATGTTCCTTCTACTTATGAATATAAATTTTTTATCGTGAATTCGTGCGCACCAAAAGAACTGGTGAATACAAATATTCTGTGTTGCATTATATATATTTTTATAATTTTTGTAAAATCATATTTCTATTTGAGTGTGTATGTATTTGTATATATGTGGCAGAATTATGCTAAATTTTTTTTTTATAAAACTCATCATAGATCATCAGGTAGCCAGGTAAAAATGTTAAAGCAAGCAAGAAAGACAGAGAAGTTTTGCTACCCGATGAGAAAAAAAAAAGAAAAAGAAGAATGATATTTATGAAAAAGTATCATTATAAATAATACAATAATATTTGAACAAAAATTAATATAATTATTAAATAATTATATTAATAATTATAATTATATTACAAATTAATGTAATTAATTTTTTTTAAGTGCAGGCAAAAAAGTTACAAGAGGCAGGCTTTGCCTGTTCTTGCTCCTTCCTGATTCGTAGATAAAAAGCCTGTTATAGATAAAAAAAAAGTTGCAAATATATCTTATTCAATAAGAATGAAAGCTAACTCGTTTAAAAAGACACAAATACTGCATCAAAAAATAACTATAACAAAAAAAAAATAATGGATTCTGTCGCTCGTTGATCAAATGGGCGTATAAACAAATAAGTTGTACATGCCATTTATAATTTGAGCCCGATATCGGAAGAGGATATCATAAATACTTGTCCGCAATCGCGCGAGAGATATTCGTTGTTTTCACGAGAAGGTCGCGAGTTTTACGCCTCTATTAATTTTCATTAACGATCGTACGCAAAGGAAGCAAAACGTTCGCGTGACGTTGAAGATGAAACATCTCAACATCGAGAACGACAAGACTGTTTCTTCGAAGTCGCATCATCGTTTTCTTCCTCCGGGACGACGATGTGCTCTAATACAACAGGAGAAGATGTAGCTGAACTCGGAAATTCGCACGTAAGCGATGGCTCGAAGGTCAGCTAAATCTTCATTCATACACTCTCTTCATCGTCATACAATTGGATGCTAGGATGTTCGCTTGTGCTGGTTAAATTACTTCCTTCTTTCAAGATTCGACCAATTAACTCGATTAATCAGTATCGTCGTAGTTGATAATTCGGTTGGCCATACGACCATTAATCCTTCAGTTCATTTCGGCCCATTTAACTAGTCTACTCACCGCCTCGACATAATAATTGGCTCTCTCCATGGCAGTATCACGCCAATTCGTACGTTAATTATGGCTCATTGTGTAGCACCCGATTAACAATATACATTATACGTTCTAGGAATCAGTCACAGGCTGAACCCCGAGGCGACTTCGCTCCGGGGGCTAGCCAAGTAAGTACGTAGCTGGGGGATAGGGTGCATTCATTTTTTGCTTTCAGAGTTCTTTCTCTACTGTAATGTCTACGTAATTTTAGTTTCTTGAGTAAAAAACAAAAGGGAGAACCGACTCAGCAAGGCATTCATACCTTTCCCTGCTCGTAGAAGACTGCGTGCTCCGTGTATCTTCCAGGTCTCTTAAATTTTCGCCATCTTCTCGCCTCGACGTAAGACCGGTGACCGCAAGCTTCTCTATTTGCGAACTCATCGGCTTCATCGGAGAAGATCGCAAAAATCTCTTGCAGCGGATGTTCCGTACCTGTTTCTCGCATGCAAAGGTGAGACGAAGAGAACTCGGGATCGTCTTCTTACGTAGCCGAGCTTACCAACTACTTCGCTTCGGAGTCTTCGTCCAGGCCGCCCCAGTCTCTTGTGTCTTCCTTAAAAGAAAGAGAGTCGGCTCAGTAAGGTATCCTATGTGGGTACCTTACTGACTGCCTTCAGAAGATCGCTTTGCGTCTTTTCCAGGCCGCTTACGTGATGCTGCTGCTGATGCTGAAGGGCAGCGCTCTGCTGCTCCTGCTGCAACTTGGCCTGTTTCTCCGCCTGCTGTTTCTTCATCATGTCTTGCTCCTCGCGCTCGCGTCTGGCCTGCTCGTTGATCTCTTTAACCGCCCTCAACTCCTTTTTCAGCTTCATTCGCCGATTTTGGAACCAAATTTTGATTTGCCGTTCTGTCAGGCAGAGTGCATGCGCGATCTCTATTCGTCGTCGTCGCGTCAGATAGTGGTTAAAGTGAAATTCCTTTTCTAATTCCAAGGTTTGGAATCGCGTGTACGTTTGCCGGCCTCTGCGCCTCGGACAGCCATTCGGACCTGAAAATGTTAACAAATCTAATTTTTGAAATTCTCTTCTCGATAGTCTCTAAACTTCTTTTAGATACGACGTACTGAAATATTAATATGCAAACAAAATGATGAATATGAGATTAAAAATATTCTTTCCAAATACCTTTAACTCAAAAGTTTTTTCGTTTGACATTTATTAACGTCACATATTCGTTGCAAAATATTCCATTAAATACTTAAATATGTAAATTAATTATAAAAGCTGTAAATATGGAAAATAGCAGAGAGATGCATATTTAATTTTATACATATTCCATATTTCTCAGTAAAGAAGAATATTATATTAGAATTTTATTTTCCATCAATTTTACGCTTTTGATAACGTTTTATTGTAAATAAAAGAGCTGCTTCCTTAATCGCGACCAGCGATTTATTGTTAGCTAACAATACTCTTTTTTGTTTCCTTTCTCAACGTAACCACAGGAAACTTTCCGTGCTTTTTCACAATTCTAAACTCTCTCTTCACTTTCTCTTGTCAAAAGGAAAAAACAGTTTTTTATTACGAATCTAAAAAAAAGATAAAAGATGAATGAGAAAACAATAAATAATATTCGGGATACTATTGCTATGCGACAAACGTCTTTCCAACGTTTTATTCGTCTTACTTTCCTCAAGAATTTATTATTATAAAGAGAGATGCGATTTTTAATTTTCTTTTTATGTTTAGGATTAAAAATTGGTGCAGATTGCGCGATTATGAAATTTGTGTTGTACGTCAGTAAAATAATGAGATTCAATTTTTTCCTTAAAATCTGACAATTCTGTAAATTAGAGTGCATCGAATCGAAAGATACTTTCTCATTTTATCTTCAGAGCAAATTTCAATACATTGACGTAAGCATGTGTGATTCAATCATTTATACAAGTGGATGTTTTGTTGACGCGTTATAAAAATTCCGATTAACATTACAAGGGAGATGACTCAAATAAAGTTTCTTAGCTATTATTCGCATTGTCAAATGCCGACGAATGCAAGTTTGTACATGTGCATATAATATTTATATCCGACCTTGATTCACGACCTTGAGCTTACACTTTTTTTCAACCTTCCGAAAACATCTTGTTTACGACAATAAAATCATCTCCGGATTCTTTTCTAATTTTATGTTCGGCGGCTCTCTTTTGATTTCAAATACAATTTCACTGTTTAAAATTTTCTTTGGCGTCACAAAGCATTCACTTATATAAGTATTATTGCAGAATCACGCGTGCTCATGCAGCGTGAAACTTGTACTGATTATGAAGGTAGAGTGAAAAAATATTTTTCGGCTCGGCGCAGTTTAATTTTTACAGTGTTTCCAGACTTAAAAAAAAATTGAATCCTATTACTTTACTAACACACCACATATATCTGTGAAATGTCAGATCTGGAAGAGATTCCGTGACAGATGAACGAAATAATTAAATGACATAATACGGAACTGTCAATTTTAAACAATAAAAAAGCAGAATAATAATCAAGTAATAATTTATTACTGCCAGAGATAAATTTAAGACACCTACATTTGATGCGAGAGAGAGAAAGAGATAGAGAGGGATCTCTTGATATGCCAATAATGTCACTGCTGAATTTCGAACAAATTTTCGCAATCAATTCGAAGGTAACTTCACTTTCAGTTGTCGTCACGGACGTCTCTTCTGAGATCGCTAAGGAACCGGTTCCTTGGTGCAAAGAGCGGACGGCTATAATACCATCATTCGCGAAGCGACGCTGAGTGGCCATATTATTGCCTCGTGATGAAGCAAATGCGTGCTACTGACCAATAAAAGATAGCAAGACTTTTCGTTCCCCTTATTTCACGACAATACGGAGATTGTGTAGGTACGTTAAAAAAAGGTGAGAAACCTAATTATTCCTAAAATCTATTATTATATTAATTATCATATTGGAATTCTTGGGAGGAGGTAATAGCTGATTACGGGTATTTTAAAGAATCTATCGTAAGCTAATTTTTTATTACAAGATCTCTTTGTATCAAATCTTCGTGGTTTAAAGGCATGCGAAATTTTGCGTCAGAAATTATAAAATTGAGACACGTAATTACATGTCCGTTAAAATGTAACTCTGGGTACATCGGAGAATCCCTGTAATCGTGAGAAAAAGTAAACCGCGTACACGAGACACACATTCTATAAATACATTCATTTTCGTAAATAAACCAAGACATATAATGATATTCCTAAAGACAGTAATACTATTCATGAGATCGATTAGCAAGCGATAGCAATTTACGCTGAATTTATAGGCGAACGTGATCCGCTTACACCTCGCGGATTGCTGTATATCGGAGGAATTAGATTAACAAATAGCGAACGAGGGACGGGAGGGGAAGGGGAATTATTCAATGGCAGATTTAAACGTAGCGACGCCGTATTTTCCATCTCCTGTCATAACGATCGGTCGTGCGGTGGCGCTCGAATGACACGCACGTGCGCAATTTCCGATGCAGGATGACCCATGAAATACGTATCGCTCTCCGAGCAGAAAACTCTTGGAGAATGCAGAGAATGCTGATATTGAATTCAGCATGGCCGTTCTCGCCGGTGCGGTCCGAGCTCGCGCTCGCGCTCGCGTTAGTGTACGTACCTGAATCAGCGACTCGCACACCCGCGAAATCCGCTTTTTGCGTGGGTGTAGGTGTGCGCGCGTCCGTATTGGGGCGAATCAACACGGTTTTTAGCGGCGTAACCGTGTGCGTCAGTTTGGCACACGTACGTCGGCTGCAGCCACCACCGGGGTGGTTACCGCGAAGCCCGAAGGGTGGGACATAGGGTTACCTTGGCAACCAGAGGGGAAACCATTCCATCCTCCTGGCGGCATATCACGCGAGAGAGGCCAGCCTGGCAGAGCCAGAAAACTCTCGCGTCCTCTCTCTGCCTCCTCGACCCTACGAGAGGAGCTCGTCGCTCTTAGGAAGACGGGTGAACTTGATTGCGCCCACTCCATTCGCCATAAATATGGCCCATCGGCGAAGTGCTGGCGCGAGCATTATCAATAATTTCGACGCGGTAAACTAATGCTGGGGTGTGCCAGAATTTATTTGGCGAGAGAATAAAGTCGCTGAGATGCGATGGCTTATCCCGAGTGACGTTTGTTCGACGAGCGAATAACAAGAAGCTAAATTTCCTCGGATCGAATGCGAAATATTTCCAAGAAACAGCTGATGCGATTAGCTAAGCGTCAGGTCTCTTTCTCGAAAACAAGAAACGTAACGCTTATCTAGAAGCGTTAATTAGAGTTTTATCGCGAATGATTCAGGGACAAATAAATTATAGTCAATTGCCGGTGGTCCATTGCCACCCTACACAAGGGCGGCACAATGGGACGCGCACACAGAAACGCGCCATTACGGATGGCACGGGCCTGTGTCTAATTACGGTCATATACTAAGTTTAATATCTGCTTTAGGTCTGCTTTAGCAGGCGGTTCGGGATTTTGGGAACAATCGTGGATATTGTGGAAGTTTGTCATGCCATGTCCGCCGTTCCACGGGGGTACCGCTAAGGCATCCCTTCGGATTTAATCAAATCGTTTCGGCGCCCACGCCATTTTTTCGAATAGAACTTTACCTAAAGATTTATCGCCTCTCCTCTGTATTGAAAGATAAAACGATGCGCAGCATTCATATTGCGTCTCTTGGATTTCAGGTCTTCGATAAATAAGACACGATTATTCCAATTTTATAAATAATTTATCCGCAATCTCTTTCCGACCTCGATTTCATATCTGTCGCATTATGCACGAACATCGCAGACTTGCCCATTTTGCGTCATTGAATGCGACGCGAATGCTTTTAGTTTTTCACGAACCGATTTATTAATATGCTAATTAATGCGATTTATTATCAGCGTTATCATCTCTACGTAAATCGATCTGCTCTTGACTTGTGACTTATTAACGTCACGCATTAACACGCCAGAACGCTTCGCTTCGCTTCGCTTAAGCGGCGATTAGGATCGCGCTCTAAACATTCCAGAGGATGTGGCGTCACGTGGGAGCGCGTTCTAAGATTAGCTAGCGCCTAGACTATCAATCGCGGCAAAAAAAATTTCGAGCGAATGTAGCGCAAAGCGAGGACGGGACGAGACGGCGGTTCGTCGTCCGAGAAATGTCACTGGTGTTTTGCGAGCGGCAACCGCACACAAGTCGGATGGATAGCTTTCTGGGACGGCGACGTCGCGACGTCGCGTCCGGGGATTTGACAGCACCTGCAAATCGCGGGGACCCTCCTCGCGTTCTCGGATGCGCGTCGCGTTATACGGCCTGAAATTCTCTTTGTCCGACCGCCGGAGGGACCACGCGTGAGCCCCTCTCGTAGCGATCCATTCATAAATATCTCAAAACGGCTTAATTTCGCGGCGCTGCGGGCGAATAAAATCTCGAGCCGGTGAAAAATGTAGACAGTTCGCCAGATGAAGGGGAACGGCGGGAGAGGGGCGAGGGGGGTGAGGGACAAGAGAGGAGATACGGCGTAGCCACGACCCACGGTTCGCTTGATCGCCGTCTCGGGTCACTGCAACCTCTGCCAGAACGATAGAGTTGGGCGATCGGGTAGGAGGCACGTTGAAGGAAGGGAAGGGAATAGAGGTGGAATGCGACTCTGCGAGAGAAACGGCGGAGAGAGAAAGAGAGATGGGAGAGATATGTAAAGGAGCGAAAGGAGAGATGCGGAGAGAGTGCCAAGCGAGGAAAAATGCCCACGATAACTCCGCCGTCCGTTCCGTCGCGATTTCAAGCCCGGCCGCGATTTATGCGGCTAATCCCCGCACTTTTTCTTGCCTCTGCATCTCGCCAGGTATCCGGTTCAAAGGCTCTAATTCAAGACCAATTATTCGGCTTCGCTAAATATATATGTATTGTTCCATCTGACCGTTGTTGATTAAATTCTTTTTTCGCATGTCCGGTTGTTTGTTGCGCGATTGCAGTTTGTTATCGGAAGCATTAGCGGCATGAAAAATCCGGGTCT